CCGGAACTATCTGGAAAACGATTGAATTAGCTGTGCGAGAGAGAGAGGACTAAAAATGTCTCAGTGGGAAATGGTCACATACTCAAAGTATGTGGAAATGGTTCTTCCTGATACACTTCACTCAATTAGATCCTTATTGTGCACAGCTACTAACAACACTCCACATGAAAGAATGTTTCATCATAGTCCAGTTTTGATGAAGAGACATGTGCGATCAAATAAATATTAGCCATTAGTTGAAGAAGTCCAACTACTAGAAGCGAATCCAAATTACTCGTACGTACTCCTTCCAGATGGTAGAAAAACTACGGTATCCAATCGTCACTTAGCTCCGAGGGAAGGTGAAAAGAACTACGAGCACGCTGAACCAGAAACTTTAAAAAATTTTAAAGGTATTATGGAGTCCGCTTCTATTGAGAACCCTCTGGAATCGATAAATGCACCTGACGTTGAAGTAACCCCTGAAGTTGAGGTAACTTCTGATCCGGTCGCTGATGAATTGTCGACACGATATTCAAAGAAAGTCCGAAGACCTCCCCTTCATTTGAAAGATTACCTTTGTTCTTAAAGATGGGAAGAAGGTGGTGATCTAAATATAGTATAGTTACAATACCCTGTATTATTATTCATAATTGTTAATGTAACATTTGTCGTTTATATTTTATAGTTGTTAAACTGTTAAATAAAGCCTTATATCTATTTGTTCTTACAACATGATAAAGGTTTAAAAAGAAGAGGATCGGTGCCAGTTAATGCAGCACAGCCAACTTCCTGTATATTTTACATGCATCCGTAATATATTTGTTGCTGGTCATGTAACTTACTTCATGAAAGGCAAATTTTAGTAGTGTATAAGGTGTTTCGCTTTTATTGTATAGTGAGAGGGTAGTGTTGCATCCAGGAACTTTAATTGTCCAAGGAGAGTCGATTTTTACCTTATTTGATAGTACATCGGTAATTGTTAGTTGAGATTCTTGTAGGTAGTAGGGTTTTGCTAGTCTAGGTTTATTATTAAGATAATTTTGATATCTATTGTTAAAAGCGTTTGAGTATACCTGTTTTATTTTAGCTGCTGATGTTGACGATGCGTGCGAGAAAGATGGTGTGTTTCTTCTTAGTTAAAGGCATGGTTCTTCAGTCTCACTGTAGATGCTTTGCACGGGTGTTGTTCTGTATATTCCAAGGACGATTATTAAAGCTGAGTTGTGAATGGAGTCTAGTAGCTTCAGAGTAGTACTGGCGAAGGCGTAGGCGACTGACCCATAGTCTATTTTTGACTTTACAATGGCTTTGTAAAGTAATAATAAAGTGTTTTGGTCTGAGCCCCAACTTTTGTATGCCGGTGTCTTTAAAAGGTTAATTCTGTTGTTGCAGGAGAGTGCTAATTGTTCTGTGTGTTTTCATGTTAGCTTACTATCAAATATCATGCCTAGAAACTTAATCGTCGATGTAAGATTTAAGGGTTTACGTGAGGCTTGGACAAGGTGAGCAGTCTGTCTTGGAGAAAACTATGCACTGTGTCTTCTCTACGCAAAATTTAAATCCTGTGGTGTGTGCCCATTCTTGTAGCTTGTTTAGGGCTGTTTGGATAATAATTGTCATTGATGTTAGACATTTTCCTTTTAGATAGACCACCAAGCCGTCGGCATATAGTCTGGCTTTTATATATTTATGTAAATCGTTTAAGATATCGTTTAGGCTGCTGGAAAAAGGGTTTTCTTGGGGATGGATTTAGGAAGTGGTCCCTTTGTTTTGACGGTAAAAAGAGATGTTTTTAGAAAGTTTTTTTAGAAAAGCGAGACAATTGACTTGAATGTTCCAAGTTTGAGTTTTCTTTAAAATTTATTGTTTTTATAATGGTTTGTTTGGTGTTAACTTAAATTAAGTGATAATACCTCTAGGGAACTTATCAGTGCAAGTCAGAGCTGATTGGATATGCTGATACACGTGACTAAACATAAACGATTTTAATTGGTTTTCTATTGATGCAAGAAATTGTTAGTGTGTCAGATCTGATTAGATTTGCTGCTTCACATGACTGAAAATGAACAATTTTAATTAGTTTGGGTTACAAAATCGCTACACTTACACGGAAAGTAGCAAAACTGGACGACAAGAAATGCTTGAAAATGGCTTTGTTTAATGTTATAGATGTCTAGAAATATATTATTTCATTGCCAGCAAAAAACGAAATAAATTATGGATGGATAAACAGGCTTACTTACTTACGTACTGGCTTGCAGGTAAACGATGGGGATGTAACCCAAACATACTGCGATGGATGTATACTGCAATAGTAAGACAAATCATCACTTACGGGGCTATAGCCTAGAGTAACAGAACTAGTTTAGCTATTACGAGAGCAAATATCTCAAAAGTACAAAGACTAGCCTGTGAGCCTGTGTTTGTATTACTGGTGCAATGAGAACCTGTCCTACAGCCGCAATGGAGGTGATCTTAAACCTCACCCTTCTACATTTGAAAATAGAGAAATTGGCAAAAAGGACACGATATAGAATGATCAGGAACAGAGTAATCAGACAAAAGTCTACTTGCTTCAGGACTAAAGATACCTGGTACATGCCCCAGGATGATATGCCAAAGAAGTACAATTTTTCGAAAAACTTCAAAACGACAGAACTGGGCTGCAAGAAAGAATGGAGCCAAGAATCCATCGCGCTTGCAACCAAAAGACGTGCTATTCAGTGGTACACGGACGGTTCCAAAACCATAGAAGGAACTGGAATAGGAGTGTATGGGCTGAGAACCAAGCACTCTGAAAGCTTGGGAAAATACCCAAGCATCTTCCAGGCGAAAATTCATGCCATCGAGAATTGTATCCAGTTTAACATCGAGAGAAACTATCATAGACAAGAGATTATCATCATGTCCGATAGTCAAGCATCCATCAAAGCGCTAAGCTTTTACGTAATCAGCTCAAAAATAGTCTGGAGATGCCTAGAACAATTAATTGAGCTAGACGAGAAAAACAGAGTTACTTTCACTTGGGTCCCGGGACATAACAAGGTACAGGGTAACGAAATTGCAGATAGTCTTGCAAGGAAAGGGGCTCAAACACCCTTTGTAGGACCTGAGCCGTTCTGCGGTATTAGCAGTAACCTAATATTAGGAGAGATTTAAAAATAATTGGGCAGTAGAGGAACCGATAATTGGAATATTAGCTTAGGGCCGAGACAGGCCAAGATAATTCTGGGTAAATATAACCAGAAAAGATCGGAAGCCTGCATCTGTCTGAGCAAGAACAGGCTACGTATTATAACAAGGTTCCTTACCGGGCACTGCCGACTAAAAGGACACCCAAGTAAACTGAGAGTAGTAGAGGAAAATGTGTGCAGATTTTGTAAGGAGGAGGACGAAACCTCCATTCACATTCTAAATGTGTAGCACTCCAAAATCCTAGGGCACTATATCCAGGAGGATATTAAATAGAAGAGGGAGATTTACCTAATTAGAAGCCACTTCAAATCATACACTTCCTTAAGAAAATAGTATTGGAAGGGTCGTTATAGGCATTGAGACATTTCCTTAGTGCATTGACGACAGAAGGGGACACAATAGATCTTTTAGGTCGCAGTATATTAACACCCCATTCTCAACATATCATAACATAATTACTGGCTTACTGAATTTGGCAGGTTACACGACAGCTCTCACCATCGGAACATAGTACATGTTTTTGATCCCCACCCCTGTAGTCAACTACAAATAGCAAACAAAAAACACTACGTGTTACTTTTTCCAGTCAGATGAGGAAATATCCATTATATTAACATTTCTAACTTATTTGAATGGATCTCAAAAACAAGGCTACACAAGTCCACAGCAATCATCAGACCCAACATATTTAAATGCTAGTTGTTGATCTCAATAGCTACCTGTCTCTCAGGATAACCATTCAGACACACAAATATATCAATTTTCTTTTGAAGCTGCACCTTACAGTTAGAACAGTCACTCAGATACGAGTCAACTTTGCAATCTTAAATTCATGTTCTATTTCAATTCATATTGCCAAAACATTAATGTTTCCTATTTTTTACAACTTTTTACATCTCTAAATTATTTTCTCTAATTAATTTCAATATTCTTCTACCACCCATTAGATATAGTTCAGATTTTATTTGTTTAAAAACCCTTTTTTTCTGTTAGTTGTCATTTTAGACCAAAATTAGTCGGGGTAACTTTATACACAAATTATAATATATTGTTGTGGTTTTTCTTATTTCACAACCGAACACTTAAGAGAAAATAGATATTCATTCATTTAACAAAAAAGGTTTATTTATTTTAGTATTTAAACATAAGAAAAGATCCTGTTAGTTTTGAAGCGACCTGTATATTTAATTAGTATTGTCTATTTCTGTAAAAATAATTATTTTGCTGCTTACACCGGACGGCTTTTTAAAATAGGAACGTGAATTTTGGTTACTTCTACCTAAATATAAGTTTAGTAAATTCTAAACGGTCTCTCATTTCTAACAAGAAAGGAACTCGAGGGCTGAACTGCCATCCATATATCCTGCATCCGGTCCTTCCTGATTATAACCTAGCTCGCGGGCAAATTCTAACTCTCCACTGTCTCCTCATCTCATTAGACACTTCTACCTGCCTTTCAGAGAGTGTTGCACAGGTATATATCTGTGTTGACTAAAATTACGTCACGAACCGACAAGACTTGTATTGATTCCGAGTCACCGGCAGATCCAGGTCCACGGCTGCGTTGCGACTCACCGAAATACGTCCCTGTTCGACAGAAACGAGCCGCGTTACCGTAGAAAGAGATGGAGCTGGATTGGGGGTGAGCATTCGACCGGGGGCTGCTATAATTTCGCAAATTCTGACCACCATGCGCAGTAGGCGAGACCCTGTCTGGCCCGGAGACCACTCCTTGTGTTGGTGTCGAATGGGACACTACGACTGTAACAGTGTTCTGTGGCGGAAAATGACGAAGAACAGGGGACACGTGTAGAATCCCCATAATGGGGCACAGCCGGATGGTATGGCCAACCGTGCTGCTGACCCTTCTCGCCATCGGATGGGCCTTCGCTGGGTGAGTTCCTGATTTCCAACGTTTTTCGAATTTTTTTTTGTGTTATCCTTCGCATGTGCTCGCATGGGTGTGTTTAGGTTTGCAGCTGTCGGGGTGCCAACCCGGTCCAGATGTCAATACTCGAAAATTTTATCTTCACGGTAGTTCGAATTAAGGTTTTTATTCTCTTTTTGAAAAATATGTGATTTTCAAAATATAAAAACAAATTCTTGAATTTCGCCGAATAAGAAAATATTAAATAAAATATTTAAATGCTAAATATAATGCATTTCAATATGATACTTCTGGATATTTTTAAAATATAGAAAACAAACATATATTTATCTGCAGACATATTTCACTACTAACCATATATTATTATTTATTCAATCGATTTTAAAAACTTAAATGCATATTAAATTTTAATATTTTGACATACCAACTAGCAAAATACTAATACGCCTTATATAGGTATATAGTAACAAAAAATCAATTAGAATGGTAACATAACTCTGATACACTAAAAAAGAACACAAGTAGTTTTTTGTTCAAGTATTTATTTCCCTTTTTAACACCATTTTAATTTACTTTATTTTTCGTTTAAATTCTTTAAATATATTAAAAATTTGATTGTCGTCTAATTATATCTTATATGCTTTTCAGTCAAACGTCAAATTTTTCTTTTGGGCATACCCTGAAGAAATACATTTCTTTGATAGTTTGATAGATAATTTTTAGTGAATGGGCTCCACATTAATACAAGTTAGTTTAGTTTCTGGTTCTTTCAAAGTAATATAAAAACAAAAATATATAAATATGTGTTTCTTATGTAAATTCAACTATGTAGAATTAGGTTGACCTTTACCTCACCTCCATTTTGAGAGTTTTTGCTTTAATCGACATTAATGTCTTTCGCAAATGTTTCACGAACTTCTGAATATGCCAAAAACATGAAATGGAATACAACCACTTTTAGAAATTTTTTGTTTTCATTATTTTTTCTAGTAAACATTCCACTGTATCGTTAAATGATATACAGATCGCTAAGTGGCAGTCAAAATAAACCGTTTTGTTTGACTACTCACGACAGAATTGCTATGATATTCTAATTTTTGGTGAACAAGCTATTTCATTTTCGTTAAAGCTTACTTCAAAAATATGCAATAATTACTGTTTTATTTATTTATATTTCTTTTTTTACAAGACAATATTAATTGTAGTAAATAATAGTCCCAAAAATTAAAAAAAATAAATTATATTACATACATGCAGCTTCATGACAAAATATTTTAAAATTTAAGGATACTGTCTTTATAGAGCAAAAATTTGTCAAATGCATACAAATAATTATTTGTGAGTATGAATCAATTTAAATTGTCCAATTTTGCACATGTTTTATGCCTTGAATTAATTTGTTATATAATTTTGGACCCACATAATTTGATGAGCAATAAGTCCCTTAATTTGTGGCTAGAGTTTTGGTCTCGATAAATAACTGTATCAACTATATCATTTTGTTAATGTAAACAATTTTTTTTTGTTTGTATAAACATTGACGCACAATTCAAAAATGTAAATAGTAAATAGACTTAAAAACTTAAAATGTTTAATTTAGTTAAATAATCCTTACAAGGAATAAGTTTAGATACGAATATTTTTAATCCAGCAAATAATCTTTTATGCTATGAAAGCAAAGGACGTAACGTGACCTAGAGAAAAGTTATGTATGGTATAAATTTAATAGGTTTTACAAACATTTCCAAAAAATTTTTTATTACTTTTTGTTTTATTTTCCCTTTAAGATATCGTCATTAATAGATTATTAACCGAGAAATACTTATATCTTTACTTTAAAAGCAACTACTAAAAGAATGTACACATGTCAGATAGAATAAGTTTACATTTTAGTTCAAGACTTTTAATAGATGTTAAAAACTGAAAATTCATCAGTACAGGCTGTATAAAAATTTCCGTAATAGATTCGGTATAGTTATAGTCCCTCATCTAACTGCAAAAAGTAGCATGTCATGTTTTTTGCTTGTTGTATGTAATTAGGTACAGGGGAAGCAGGTGACAACATGTCTCGGTGGTTGGAGCTATCGTGTAACCTGTCAAATTCAAAATATTGTTTCTTATCGATAGAGTTTTTCAATTTTTGCTGGTAATCCAATAATTTACTTTTTGACGTCTAATAAAAAAATCCCTTTACAAGTAACGAAAAACATCATCGATATAGGGACCGTGCGTCATGAATTTAACGCCTACTGGTGATAAAAATGTGAACTTTATGGGGGGATTTACTAATGCATTTATTGTTTAGTAATTATTAATTAAATAAAGTCCAATTATTTTCGTAATATCATTATCGAAAAAATTTGTTACATCCGTGGATGTACGAAAATCATTTTGTGAACCTGGATTTGATTTGATAGTAACAAAGTTTTATAAATTTCCACAGAGCACACTTAAGATTGTTTCGTTCGCTGTTGGTGCAGTGACCACCAGTGTAAATTACACCAGTTACACCACCTTATTTACTCTGGTGTATTTCCTACTTATTCTTTGTACACATGTCGAGTGTAATTCGCCCCTGCTAAATAGCTGGTGAAGCAAATATTTACCAGTGGACACCACATCGCCGACAGGAAGATATAGTAGGTTATATACCGGGTCAAACAAAAGGTTTAGTGTCCGTTTGTGTAGTTTATTGCTACACCAGTGAGACGAACAAAAGAACCTTTAGTGTCTCAAACCCAATGATATACATAATTACATAGATTGCTTATCCATATGTAAAGCAGACGACGAAAAGCTTATTTCACTAGGCAGTTTTCTTTTAATCTAGCTTGTATCATTTACAGAACCGGTTTACAAATGAGAATCTTTAGTGTTTTCTTGTCATTAAGATTTTTACATATTTAAATGAACATTTTATATAAATATAATTTTATATATAATTAATGATTTATTCTGTTAATTAAAACTGTGAAATTAGAATGTCCAATTTGACAAAAATAGCATGGCCCTCTTTACAATTTTTTGACTATTTTTCATTTATCACTAAAATAAGCAAATCATATGCTGCGTTTGAATATTCACAACCGATTCTTTTTTTACATCTCGACCGTTTGTTTATCCACATCGGACACATCTACTACATCTGCGTTTGTTTATTCGAGATGTAGCTGTCCAAATTACATTTTTTAAATCTCGATTTGAAATGAGATCTTCATTCCATGCCAGAAAGTAAGTGTTCTGTAAAGTCAAGTTTATCCATTCATTCTTTGTTTATGCTAAAGGGAATATAAAAGTCATTACTTTGTTTAATTTTGGTTTAGATTTCAAATTTAGGTTAATTTGTAGTCTCAAAAGTCAAAGACAAAAAGTACAAACTTCTAACTTGTCATTGTCATTTTATCACGTGACCAATAAAGTCAAGAGCGTTTGTTTGTTACATCTACATTTAGATATAATCCTTTATCACGTGATAAAAAAATTCACTATCAGGTGCATCCGATGTAGATATTCATCGCACCAATAATAAATACATTGCAATTAATGTCAAAAAAAATTGCAATAAACTTTAAAATATTAAAAATCCAATGAATTTTTGTAAAAATTTTTAGTAACATTACCATTAAACATTACTTAGACTAATAGATAAGTATCCAATTACAACTCTTACCAAAGTTGTTTATATCTCATATCAAACTTGTTTACATTACCTTTTCAAAATTATATTACTGCCAAAAGTGACCAAGTCAAAAAAATCTAATTTTTGTTTTTATCGACCAAATCACTTAAAACTATTTACTCTATATCTGGAATAATTGACTAAGCTTGTTACTAATTTAAAAAAAGTTTGGGTATTTATAACATTTGATTTAAGGTTACTAGTTTAAACTAGTTTAACTGTTTCACTAGTCTAAAACTGTTTATCTCAAAAGTTTGTTTATCTGACTTGGTCAATTTTTGCAGTAAACCGACGATATTGCAATTATGTGTTTTTTTATAGTATTGCAATTGTGTTTTATAAAGTGTTATTTCTGAAATGAGAGTGGTCTAAAATTATTTACATCCATCTGTTATAAGAATTGTTTAGATCTCTTAATATTATTTAACTACATGGAAACTCTAAATAGACAATGTGTCTTAAAGTAAAACTTTTTCTTTTTCTAAAGATTAAAATGCTGAAATTTTATTTTAAAACAAATTTGGGCTAGAACGGCTCTATTTAGTGGGCACTAGAAAAGGCAATATAGCAGTGTAATCCGCTTTTCGTAATCTTTTTTATAGATGGGTGAGCAATCAATATATTTATGTACATCATTGGTTGTCTCATAAACGTTTAAAGTGGATGAATTACATTTCGGCTAACATAAAGCGAAAAAGAATTATTATTCTCAATCTTTTTTATTAATTTATATTTTTTAACTGTTATTGTAATACTTTTAAATTCAGTGTTACTAAATGCCGATATTTTTAAATTGGATACACTTACTTAAGGTACAACCTAACACTTTATTATCACTTAACCATTTAAATATTTTTGCTCAAAATGAATAAAGGTATATGTCCAGATTTTAATAAGTTTTTACATTTTATATCATTTTGACGATGTACACAATTGTTTGTTACGGGCCGGTATCTATATTTAATATTTTAAAAAGTATCCTTTAATATTTACTTAATGTTTACCCCATTTAATTCTAAAATTAAATACTAGAGAGGGCTAACTTCGGCAGTAGTGCTGCCTCTTTATTTCACGCACCTTTCCTACAAAAAATTATTTTGAATTTGACAGGTTACACGACAACCTACTACCGGGACATAGTACATTTTTTCAATCCTCTTCTATGTACCTAACTAAAAAGCAAGCAAAAAACCCGACATACTACTTTTTGCAGTTTGATGAGGGACTATTAACCTATGGGAGTATTGGCATTTAACCTAAAATTGTTCCCGCTTTCAAACACATCACTTATAACAAGATATCTACATTTAAATTTTGATACTGATCT